CTGGCCAACATGATGAAAAATACTTTACTAAAAATACAAAAGTTAGCCAGCCATGCTGGCGTGCGCCTGTAATCCCAGCTACTCAGGTGGCTGAGGTAGGAGGACTGCTCGAACCCTGGAGGTGGAGGTTGCAGTGAGCCAAGATTGTGCCACTGCACTCCAGCCTGGGTGAGGGAGCGAGAGTCTGTCTCAAAATTAAATAAATAAATAAAAATAATTTAAAAAAAAAAAGAAAAGAAAAAGGCAAGGCGCTGGAAATGGAAAGTCAGCCATGGTCCAAAAGCTCTCTCAATTCTTCTTTGGGCCTAGTCCCTACACTCCAAAGAGCTTTGATTCTCTGTTTCTGAGACGCAGGGACATATGAGCAAACATTTTTTGAGGTGACCGAACCATTGTCCTGTGCGCTCTTACCTCCACACCCTGGCTAGGGAGGAGCGGAAGGAGGAAGATTTTTGGAGTAGGCATCCAAAGTCAATAGGTGGAGTGTCAGGTGACAGGGCCCAGCCCCTCTCATAAGCCACTGGGGTCCTCCTGAAGACTTGGCTGTTTCCTTGTTCCTGATCTGAGCCTGGCTCTCAGCCCAAGGATTGCCTGGCAGGCAGCGATTGGAAAAATAGCCCCTGTAATCCCCTGCAGCCTGTGTTCATCTGAGCCTCAATGTCCCCATCTGTAGAATGGGAGTCTGTTTCTTTTTGGTGACGTATATTGTAATTAATTTGTAGTTGTCTGTACTCCACTGGCAGAGGTACGGAAGGGAAGTGCTGGCCCCATAAAATGTTTAGATCAGTTGTATTTACTGATCAGTTTCATTTACTAATCAGTCTGATCTTTCCATGCCAGGCCCTAAAGAAGCCACATTCTGAATTTTTTTTCTTGAACTCTTGTCTGAAATGAAATGCAGTATCTTCAGTCAAATTGGAGCATTCTGAAAACACCTTTGGATACAATAGTCCTAGCTTTCTTCCTCTTCTCTAAAGTACTCAAGGTTAGGAAGCCAGAAGTTTGCCACTCAGGGAAAGAAGTGGCCTTTGTTTGACCCTCTATGCTCACAGCAGAACTGGTAGATCTGGATAGAGGTAGCAAATAAGTGAGGAGTGGGAATAAGGCCAGAGGTTGGCAGAGGCAGAACATAGAAGAGTTCAGATCCTATTCAGCAAATGTGTGTCTTTTTGTTGTTGTTGTTTGTAGAGATGAGGTCTCACTATGTTGTCCAGGCTGGTTTCTAACTCCTGGCATCAAGTGATCCTCCTGCCTCGGGGTCCCACACTGCTGGGATTACAGGCATGAGCCACACTGCCTGGCTTCAATCAATGTCTTTGATGCAATGCATCCAGGAGGCCTGCAGGCTGGGGGCATTGGCACCGGTGATCTCCACATGCCTCTAGAGGTGCAGCAAGGGGTTCTCTCCCGAGGCTGCTGCTTCTCTGCTGCCCACACATGGCTTTCATCTGGCCCATTAGAGAGCAGGCAGTAGGATGACAGCTCATCCTCCTGCTGACAGTGAAGGAAGCAGGCAGGCTCGCAAAGGCCAGCACCTGTAAACCAAGCTGTGTCACCATATGAAAAATGAAGAGCTTGGTGGCACTGGACCCTATGCAGAGTTCGTTTCTTTCTGAGTAGAATCTCCATTCTCCATTCCTCATTAGTCATGCTTTCAGCTCTGGGGTAGCTGTACCAGGGGAGCACAATCAAATAACCTGTGTCTACTTGGCTGAAGTGCGCTATGGGTCTCTCTGTGGAGGTATCTTCCTCTAGGGTCTGACTGAGGCTGTTATTAAACTGACTTTTTTGTGTCAGACCACAGTGGGCTACTGGAGGAAAGGAAGAAACCTCCAACATGTTACCAGAGAGCTCTGAGAAGTTGGCTGAGAGTCAGGCATTTGCCCCAAGTAACCTGAGACAGATGGACATCCCCGCAAATAAAGATCTGAGCTCCTTTTATACATATGCCAGCAAGGACCTCAGGGCTGGTGCCTGAATTTTTAGCTCTAGTTCCGGCTCTCTGAACTTTTTTATAGTGCCTCATTAGGCCGGGATTGTAATAAACTAGTTAGGTGACTAAAGAGAACCAATTCCTGGAAATGATTATGAAACCTTCCATGCACGAGCCTATAAAAGAGAGAGAGAGGGAGAGAGAAAGAAATAAGCAAGCCTTTAGAGCTTTATACAGGAAAGGACCTGACCAGATACTCAGACTATACATCCAAGCAAGGGGGAAGGCAGGGGACACCGCAGAGATCGAGAATGAAGCTGTGGAGATGGGCTGCTTTTCATGAAGTCCCAGTGTGCCCTTTCCCGAGTAGTGTAACTTAATTTATCTGGTCCTCAGTTTTCCCATCTGGGAAATGGGAATGATCACACCTCCCTTACAGAAATGTTGCCGTAACTGCGATACGCAATGTGAAAACACCTAGGATAGTGCCTGCTGTGCAGAAACACATTAACAAGCAGTAGCAGCGTTAGTAAGTAACAGTGTAAGGAGAACTGCAGAATTGCTCCCTAACCTGAGAATCTGCTTGATCTTGTGAATATCAATGGCCTCCCTGCATCCTCCATTGGAGTCTAGGTTAGAAATCCCCAGGGAGGCTTCCGTGATTCTTGATGTTTGCCTGCCCCTCATCTCAGCGGTATAGGCGTCGTGCTAGCCGGAGGTATAAGATGAAAAACAAAAGCACTGATAATACTCTTCTCTGCCAGTTGGGCCTCTGGCCCTTTAAATCAACACTCCTGCCTACTCCATGGATCAGTTAGCCCATAAAGGAGAGCTGTAAACACTTGGGGCTTCCCCACTTCTTTCCCTGAAAGTTCTTACTCAGATCTTATCTCTGCCCCCTACAAACTCTTGGCCCTGGGAATCTAATCTGGCTCTGCTCTGGCCTTGTGAACTCCTACCAGCTCCACCACTGGTGGGGCTTGACTTTCCCTGTAACGGCCTCCCTGCTAGAAACGCTCCTGGCTCTAGCCATGTGGCCAACACTCTTGCTGGGCTGATGGTCTCCTCTCTCCCCTTCCTCCCCCAAGATGGGGTAGTCAGACAGAACATTCTAGCTGCTGAATTCCACAGTGGAAGTATTAGAGCCATTCGGAAGAAGGAGAGGTCCTAGAGAAAGGTGGTCAGGGAAGCCCTTGAGGAAGAATAGGATCTGATCTCCAGATCCCAGCAGGAACACAGAGTCCTGTACAATTTCATGGCTTAGTGCAGGGATTGGCAGATTCTGGCTCAAGGGCCAAATCCAGCCTCCCTCCTGTTTTGGGAAATAAAGTTTTGTTGGGACACAGCTGCGGTCATTTGTTTCTGGATTGCCTGGTTGCTTTTGTGCTGCAATGGCAGAACCGAGTAGTTGCCACAGAGACTGTACGGCCTGCAAAGCCTAAAATATTTACCATGTGGCCCTTTACTGAAGAGATGGCCAACCCCTGGTTTAGGGCATCAGGCTTCCCCAAACAGTGATGTGAGGAACTCCAGCCCCATGAGACTGCTTCAATGAACCACAATAATCCAACACATCTGGGAAACACACATAATGTCCCCACCCCGAGGTGTGAAAACCCAAGGTGTTTCACAATACACCTTCATGTAGCAAAGGGTCCAAAAGATCCTGCATGGAAGAATGTTTGTGGTTTCCCAGCATTTCCAAAACTTCATTAATCTACCAAACCTCCTTTTCCTCAGAACACCTTTTCACATCCCGAGAATCTAGCATTAGAAACAGTCTGGGTGCTCGGCCCATCCCTGCCACAAATGAGAACCAATTCCTGGAAATGATCATGAAACCTTCCATGCACGAGCCTAAGAGAGAGAGAAAAAGAAGCAAGCCTTTCCAGCTTTACACAGGAAAGGACCTGGCCAGATGCCTAGACCATAAATCCAAGCAAGGGGCACAGTGATCCAGAACATAGCTGCGAAGGTGGGCTGCTCTGAGTGGCCTTAGCTGAAGTACACACCTTGCAGAGCCTGCTCCCTCATTGATTGAATGGGATCCATGATGTCTGTCCTATCTCCGTTACAGGATTTTTGGGGGCAGGTCATCGAGAAAGTGAACAGGAAAATAATCTGGAGGGATGACTGTGGTATCCTTGATTTTTGACAATGAGTTTTGCTTTGGTACAATGCTCAGCAATGGTGTAGTGAAAAAGGCCCTGAACCACAGTCACGAGTTCTCTTTGCTAGTCCTCACAGTGCTATAACTAACTGGGTTAACTGGGTGACTTTAAACAAGCGCCCCCCACCTGTACTTAACCCTGCTGGGCCTCATGTCCCTCTCTTCTAGAATGAGGGCTTTAGACTAGTTAATCTCTAAAGATCTGTTAGCTTTGAAATTCTGTGATTCCATGTGGTTAGATATGTGCAACTTCCCTACTTATCCAAAACAACAGGTTTCTCTTACAAGCCATGAAACCTGCATCTCCTTGATTTTCTTAGTACAATATCTGTGTTCAGAACCAGATATGAAGAGGTATTACTGAAGGATTTCTGTGCTGCTGACAGCTTAGAAGGGAGGGCTAAGCCTTCTGGAAATGTCTACCTGGCAATTCTCAGCTTGATATTGGAGCCTATCTTTCCTTTCTGCCTCCACTGCTCAGGCTGTTCCATCCAACAATGGAGCCCAGACAGTTTGCCAGTGGATCTGGCAAAAGAAAAGAGTGGATGTGATTCCTGGAAAGGCAGTGGGGCCAAGGGTGGAGCAAAAGTTCCCTGACAGGCATGAGGTGATGTAGTTACAGGGCAGAATCCACATAAAATTCCTCTCTTTTGTCTCCCACCTCACCCCCAAAAACCATCTTCCAGCTTCACCAATAGTCCTCCATATCGAGGATTTATAAGCAGCTGAACAAGAGGGGCTTTATGAAGAAGGCAAGAATCTACTGAAAATACCCTGCTCCTCCATGAATGTAGGAAAATCCCAGAAAATCTTGGCCAGGTCAAAAGGTCTATGTCACAATGAGCCTGGGTCCAAATGGGGTGGGATGATGTGAAGAATGGGTGGTTGCCCTTTTGGTCTCAGTGTAGAAACCAGCTGCCTGTGGGGTCATCTAAGGGACCCCGAAAAGGAGGGACAGATGCCCAGGGGGACCCAGAGCTCTTGCAGAGGCAGGGTTCCCAGAGGCCACTGAGCCCCCAAGTCAGTCAATCAGCCACAGGTATTTATTGGGGTCCTACTGAGTTGGAAGTTCTCTGGGGGACATCACGAGACAGATAAAACGCAATTACTGCCCTAAAGGAGCTTAGAATCTACTTGAGAAGGCAAGGCTGGTACACTTAAATATAATTAAATGTGAGTGGGAGGCTGAGTGCTAACAATAGTCAGAAAAGAGGCCCCCAGCAAGGGCTGGGAGTGATGATAGAGGATTTGTCACTTTCCACACTTATTGGAAGCCTCTTCTATTTTCAAACATTCAGGAATGGAAATTTCACACTTTTCCTAGGTGACCTCTTCCAGTGTTTCATACAACTTTCTTGAAGTCTCCTTTGAGTCATCTTGTAACCTTCGGACGTGGATAATGCTTGACTTTCTTGGGCCCAAGGACAGCCAGCCTTTCTTCCGTGGGTGGAGCCCCGGCTTCATCAGCTTCTCTTCCCACAGGTGGAGGAAGGATGATGGAAAGAGGCTGGGGTCCTGGAGGCCTTTGATCTTGGTCCTCCTCCCATGGTAACTGAACAGTTCATCTTTCTGTCCCTCAGGGTCCTGGATTCCTCTCTGGGGCAGTCAGGCTGGCCTCAGCAGGAAGAGAGTCATCCTGGAGCATCTTTCTTTCCACATGGGGCAGCTGGTCTGGTTGGAGGTTCACTTCCAGAAAATGTGTCATCTGAATTAGGGTGACCCTTTCTGCCTCCTGAGCTGCAGAGACACAGACCAGACTGTGAGGGTTCTGGGTAAGGACAGCACTGACTCTGATTTCCTAAGAACCACTCCCACCCACTGCAAGTTTTCAAGAACTTTCTGACACAGAAGCAATGGAGCCCTAGTTGGTTAGGTTAAGCCAGCCTACCCCCTGATAGGACTTGGACTTCGGGACCTGGGTCTGAGAACCTTAGCCTCCTCCACTTGCTGACAGAAAATCTCACCCTTTCTTTGCTAGGTCTACATATCACAGAGCTGTCACTTTAAGAGTACTTAAACCTGGGCACATTGCTCTCAGAGAATTTTAGCAGGGCCTTGCAGAAGGGGGAAAATACGAGGTTTGATCCCAGATCTGGGCCTTGCACTCCTGCTCTCTGCTGTGAGGGTTGCTTATGAGGCTTATGGTTAACATAGGCATCACAGCCTTTGTAATCCTCCAAGAGCTTCTCCTTATGCTCTGGGATGTAATTGACACATAAGTACAGAGATAATTTCTGATTTTATTGGTTAAAAACCAAGGCAGTTTGGGCAGGGTGGCTCACGCCTATAATCACAGCAATTTGGGAGGCTGAGGATCACTTGATGTCTGGAGTTCTGGCCAACATGGTGAAACCCCATCTCTACTAAAAATACAAAAATTAGCCAGGCATGATGGTACACGCCTGTAGTCCCAGCTACTTGGGAGGCTGAGGCAGGAGAATTGCTTGAATCTGGGAGACAGAGGTTGTAGTGAGCCGAGATTGCAGCACTGTACTCCAGCCTGGATGACAGAACAAGACTCCATCAAAAAAAAAAAAAAAAGAAAGAAAAGAAAGAAAGAAGGAAGGGAGGGAGGGAGGAAGGAAGGAAGGAAGGAAGGAAGGAAGGAAGGAAGGAAGGAAGGAAGGAAGGAAGGAAGGAGAAAGAAAGAAAGAAAGGAAGGAGAAAGAAAGGAAGGAAGGAAGGAAGGAAGGAAGGAAGGAAGGAAGGAAGGAAGGAAGGAAGGAAGGAAGGATGGAAGAAAGAAAGAAAGAAATGAAACCTAGGACAAGAGTGGTTAAATGGCTTAGGCTAGAATTTAGCTCTTCTACACTGAAAAGTCCTGGCAGGACTCTACCCCTGCCCAGCCCTGAGGGTGTCAGGTGGGAACCAGAACTCTTCTGTTTAGCCTTGGGGCTACTGAACTCACAGATCCTCCTTCTCCGGAGCTTCCTTTGCAATAGAACCAGAGCCATAAGCATAAACAGGGCCAGCATGGTAGAGACAGGAGCCAGGGTCCGAGAGCTGCTCTCCTCTTCTGGAAAAGCACTAGAGTGGGGATGGAAAGAGCACAGGAGAGAGGAGGTTGGAGCCGGGCAGAAGATTAAAGACCATTTGCCCATGTCCTTATTTTACAGGTGGGGGAGCTGAGGCCAAAGCAAGTGGGCAACCCTGTTTCCCATGGCAGGTTAGTGGCAGAGCTGGGACTAGAATCTCTGTCTTCAGGCTTCCAAACCCAAATCCTTTTCCCTCTTCCACCCATCCGTGTGTGGGCCCTGTGATGTCTCCCAGTGAGAAAGAGGACTTGGTGGGAGCCAGCGACTCCAGCCTGAGCAATGGGCTCTGCTACAACCTTTCCTTGTGGCTTCAGTGCCACACCCCCTCTCTCTGGAGCTTCTATTCCTCATCTTTAAAAACAGAAAGTCCTAATGAAGATTCCAGCCTAAATATTGTCTTTCTGTCATTTAGATATCACTTGAAAACCACAGGGAGCGTTCTCACAGCAAGGCCCCTTGAGTGAGGGAGGGCATCTGATGTGTACGTCACTGTCTTGTGGGTACAAAGAGAGAGAAGTGAGCAGAGGGAGAGGGGCCTCCCTTGCATGCTGGGGATGAGACAGATATGGGGCCCCCTGACTGGGAGAAGGGGCCTGGGGGTTACCTCTTCACAGAGGACTCCTTGCCAGGGGGCCTCCAGGGTCCTACTGCTGGGGCCTGGCTCAGCGTTGCTTGGGGACCTCTGTCTCCAGTGGCAGCATCTAGGTCCCCTGCAGCACTTCCTTCCCCAGATGCTGCCTCTATGCTGGTCCACACACCTGCAGCTGGAGTTCCCAAGGTCCACAAGCCTACAGCTGGAGTTGTTTCTCCAAAGTAGCCCAGAGATTGTTGCTTAGAAACTGGCGTTGCTTGTGGGAGGATTTCCCAGGCCAGAGTTTCTGAGACCAGAGCTGGTGGCCTAATGGTTCCTAGGACATTTTTGGCCACATCAAGAGTGATCCTGACCCCCTCTGTGTCCTCCTTTGGCCTATCAGCCTTGGTAGTTGTCATCTCCCTCCTGTCCTTGCTGGCTCTCACCCCGTTTGTCACTGAGCTTCTGGTGCCCCCCCAAACACCTTCTGTTGTATCGGACATGCTTCTGCTTTTTGCAGCTGGACTCTCTGGAATGGGAGCTGGTACTTTGACGGAACCCTCCGCCCAGCTGCCTGTCCCTGGAGCTGCTAGCCTCGTTGCTCCTGGGGTTTGGCTTCCCTCAGCTGAAGCTGTGGTCATGCTGGTTCCTGGAGTTGAAGCAACTGTGTCCCATGCTGTCCCCTGTCCTGAGGTCTGGGTGGTTCCTGGGATCCATCTATTGGCCACCGGAAATGCTGTTCCATAGGATCGCATGGTGAGCTCCCCAACAGCTGGAGTGGCTGTGGGGAGGGTGCTGAAGGGACCTGTGTGGAGAGCAGAGGGAGGCCACATGGGAAGGCTGGCAGGCGGCCTACTGGTTTTGGCAAAAGACACCAGGTTTCACATGTCTGCTAAGTGGAATGCAACCTCACTAAGAGATGCAGTCTTTGACCAATAGGATGGATAAAATAAAAAATAGGAAAATTTTTCATTATCCATTATCTGTGGCAGGCATTCTCTAGTCTGTGGCAGACACTGACATGTTATATTCCTATTTCCTTTTCCCATGCTCACATGTTTTCTATCCAGCTGTCTTGAACCCCCAAGCTGCTTTCTCCAGAGGCCCATCTTCCAGCAGGTACTAGTCTTCAAAAAAGACAAAAGAAACACTGCAGTTCTAGCAGAGCAGCCAGTTGCAGCAGGCGGCTGGAGAGCAGCATCTACTAGAATTAACCTGCTCTCAGGCTGCCTCCTGTCATGCTGTCTCCTCTGCCAAGTGGCCTTTCACAGCCTGGATGCCCTTCCTATGCTCTGGGTGCCTGACTTGGGATCAACAACCAGAACCTGCCACAGAGGGCCTAGGCCTGGGATCTGTCAGATGCCTGCTGAGGGGCTCAGCAAGAGTCTGCATGAGGGACAGCTCAGTTGCAATTCTTTCGTCCTGCCTGTCACACCTCCTCTGCAGTCCTGCCGCTTCTCTGCATGTCTGAACATGTAGCTATCAGGATCCTAAGAAGCCACATTATCCCATTCTTGGAGCCATCTCCAAATATATATTTCATGACATTTGGGGGACTCGGGTGGGAGAGTGTACATGCATTCACTGGGGGAAGTTTTTCCTAAAATCTCCCTTTCTTTTGAAGGTAGCCTTCTTCTGAAATGAAAGCCTACTTCTTAAAGTCTTTGCCTTGCCCCAGCTTTTCATTGTACTTCCCTAATGTTTCAAGCCCTTCTAGGTCTCTGAGCCTTCTCTTGCACTTCCTCCTTCCTAGAATGTGCTTCACCAAGCTTGACCCATCAGCCATCAGCTCGTACCTGCAGAGATGGTCAGATTCATGCTTAAGAACAGCATGGCATTTTCACTTCCAATGCCGCAGAGGTAGCATCCGATGTCATCTGGGGACAGTTGGGACAGCCTCACCACAAACAGGCCTCTCTGTGGAAAGTCTGTGAGGGCCACACGGTCACGATAGCGATGGTGAGTGTAGTGGCTGGTGGACACAATGGTCTGGCAGATCCATCTTGGGGGCCCCAGACGGCACCAGTACTTCCTTTGGTGCCTGTTGACAGATGAGGGGGCATAATGGCAGCGGATGGTGACAGCTCCTCCAGGCTCCCCAGACACCAGCCTTGAGCCCTTCAATGCATTTGGAGCTGTAGAAAGAGAAGGAAGTCAAAGGAGAGGGAGTGGTGAGCATAGTCACTGTTTGGGGAGTCACGAGCTCTGAACTCTGCCAGAATTAGAGGTCAGGTCAGAAAATGCCACTGTGAACATGGAGCAGAATCAATATAGAAATGGCAGAACTCAGCAATTGGGAAAGCCGATGTTGCCCCGAGGTATGGAAGATGAAAATGTCATCATAATCTTACCCACTATTTAGCTAACACTTATCCTGTGCCATCCTGGTCCATCCAGAGCATGGTTCCCCTGTGCTCCAATGCAGATGTTTAAAATGATGCTATCTAAGCACATATATGAGGGCTGAGGCAACATCTGACACTCACTCACTCAGTCACTCCTCACTGTAGATTTAGACAACACCGTCCAAACGATGCCACCGACGATAACATTAAATGATAATTTATCATTAAAATACAAAAATATTCACAATTATAAACAAGGACCCTTTCAGGACACCAGTGATGATTCCCTGATAGAAGGACTCTGGTTTGCATGGGATGTAAAAGAGAGATGCTAAACAGTAAGAATATATCAGTGTATCTTTCATGTGCAAAAGACGAGGAGCCCTGAAACACAAGAATCCCGTTCTGCTTGCTGGGTACGTGTCTGGACCAGTGGTTGTAAAATTCTTCACACTAGTCACTTTTCCATAGAAACAGAAACAACCAAATGCCACCATATAAGCACAGATGAGCAGTACTGTGAATATGTCTGCTTGGCAACAGGCATAAGGACAATTCGTAGTTGAACCACATATATGGCCAGCTTCCTGGATGACTTAAATGTGATGCGGTGCAAGCAGAAACAAAGTTTATTCTTTCTCTCACTGCCTCTTCATATCTTCTCCATGGACATCTCTGATCCTTGATGAAATCTCAGGCACAATCTCATGTATAGTAGCTTTCATAATCTCTCCTGGATAACAAAAAGCCCCACTTAGTCTAAACTTACACATCCAGTCCAGTCCAATGAAAGATTACAACTCCAATCTCTTGCCCAGTCAAAACCTTTTCCTTTCTCCCAGCTGGGCTTGGAGTCTGTCATGGAGGAGGGGGGCATGGTTGGAGTCTCTTGCTTTGCTCTACCCCTTCCCCTATTCAAAGCTTCTGTTTGGGGGTCCCTGCAGGGTTGGGTAGAGTGGGGAGAGGAGAGGTGAATGAGACAGTTGTGATCTGCGCTTGGTGCTTTCTGGGCATGGCAGATGACCAAGGCTGCTTCTTTTTTGCCTACCAGATACATTTTTAACATATATGGCTGTCGTTTTCTCCTTATGAGAACTGCATGTTCTTCTGCTGGCCTTTGGTGGCCACCACCCACAAGCCTATGACTTCTGGCTATCTGCCCTGCTCTGTGGTCATAGTCCCCTCTGGGTGGCCCTCTAGGTGGAGGCCCTGCATTTAACACAGGAAGCATGCCTGCGTCCTGCGGTCAGAAGAAATCTGGGACAAAGAGCAAACTTGTTGAGTGACTTTCTGGAAGTTCCTTCTCTTACTTGGCTTAAAGTGAGGAAAAAGTGATGTCTCCTGTCCCCTGGGACAAGTGGAGGGGACCACAACACAGGGACATCTCTCTGACACAGTGAGCTCTGCAGCCGCTGATGATTCTCTCCTTCCCTCATTTGGCCTGGACAGATTCCCGCGGGGCTGTTGCTGGGACTAGCTCTATGGTGTCTTTCTACAGCCCTGGACATGTGGTTCAGCATCTTGTGGTAGGATGTGGATGCCTGGCACCTATCAGTTTGTTCTGTCTTTAGGACCTCTAAACCCCAGAAAGTGCAGTTTTATATCCTTGATTTGGTTTGGATGTTTGTCCCCTCCAAATCTCATGCTGAAATGTGTTTCCCAATGTTGAGGGTGGGGCCTGGTGGGAGGTGATTGAGTCGTGGGGGCATCCATCATGAATGGTTTAGCACCATCCCCTTGGTGCTAAATGAGTTATTTCTCAGTTTACATGAGATCTGGGGCCTCCCCTCACCCCTTCTCTTGCTCCCTCTCTCGCTATGTGCTGTGCTGCTCCTGTTTTGCCTCCCCCATGAGCAAACGCTCCCTAAAGCCTCACCAGAAGCCAAGCAGATACCGGCACCATGCTTCCTGTACAGCCTGCAGAACCATGAGCAAAAGTATGCTTCTTTTCTGTATAAATTACTCAGTGTCAGGTATTTCTTTATAGCACTGTAAAAATGGCCTAATATAATCCTATTACCAGGAACGGTTAAGTAGTTTGCGGGTGCCAGAGCAAAATGAAAATGCAGGACTTCTTGTTCAAAAGTTATTAGGAATTTCAACATGGCAACAGCAGAGCATTAAGCCGAGTACCTTCTGAGTATGGGGTCCTGTGTGAATGCACAAGCCCGGGAAACCTACCCTGCCTATTATGTGTGTACTCAGGTCTAATTACCGGAAGAGTAGAGGTCATAAATGTTATGGCTGTACTGATACTCACTGTAAGTTTAATTAAACAACACAACCCAAACCATGCCACTAATGGGAAAGTTAAATTACCATTTAAATTTACCAAGTTGTGAATATTTGCAACATTCACAATGACAAACAAGGACCATTTCAGGACAACAGTGATGATGCCCTGATAAAGTGTGCATACCCCGGATTTCAGGTATTCTCCTGATCTGCATGTGGCACATTTGAGAGGAGCATGGTTCCATTAATCAGCAGGACGGGGTGGTCTGACTTTACAGTAGAAAGCTGATTAAGAACCCTTAATCGACCCTTGCAATGCACATAATTTTCTATTAATACCAAAGTTAAGAACCAATACCTTAAGGATTCATTTGATAGATCACTGATCAGTAGCTCTTTGTTATAAATAATAATTAAGGTTTGGGAAATTTTATATTAACTACCGTAAGAATTCAAGACCAGGCCAGCATTTTAGGGTCAATGTGTACCCACCTGGGGGCCCTGATGCCAATTCTCTGCTCATCCGTGGAGGTGGGTGCCCTGGCTCTCATCTCATCATTGTTACTCAGCAATTGTCTATTGCTATGGCTTCCATTAGGAGAGGCTAGGGCTCCCTATAGCTGTAGGGAGCCTGACTTGATCTGAGAGACCCTGAGAGGTCTGAGGTCCATGGTTGAACAAAGGGAGGGTAGAGGTTTTACCTGCAAAGGAGCTCTCCTCCCTCCAGCAGAGGGATGACGAAGGCCTGAGTGTTCCCATGGTCCGGAGATGGGTCCTGGAGGGGAGAGAGCCCTCCCACAGCCAGCTCGGATGGGGTCTTTTTTGTGGAAGGGCGAAAGAAGAACCTGCAGCAAAGGAAGGAGGTGGGTCATCAGGGAGCTATCCATGTGTCCAGAAAGGCACCCACAGAGGAAGAAGCAAACAGCCAGCTCCAAACCCCTGCCAGGCCAGATAGCTCCAGGCCATCCATCAAGTAAGAGCTGCCTGCCCTCCTGCAGCTTCTCCCTCCCACTGCTACCACCTTGCTAGGGTCTCAGGCAGCAGCTGCCTAGAGGGGGAGGAGAGGGGGGTGGGGAAGTGGGAAGGCAGCAACCACACCCCCTTCCTGGACTGCAGGCCTTGTGGGGATGAGGGATTATACCTTTAAATGAAGATTAAAGTGCTGACCAAAGTATTTAACTGGAAACTTTAAATGATCAAATTTAGAACGTTTGAGACTTAAAGCAATTAATTTAGGACTGTTACTTAGCAGAAAAATCATGGGCCTGCCTGAGTTGTCATTTGGGGGCAGGGGAAGCCTGCTGTTACTGAAAAATTTTAAAAGGGACAGCAGGAGGTTAAAAAGGTGGCGTGATTTTATCACACAGAGTGCTTACTCAAATATTGGCTGCTTTTTTTTTGTTTTTGTTTTTCTTTTGAGATGGAGTCTCGCTCTGTTGCCCAGGCTGGAGTACTGTGGCGCAATCTCAGCTCACTGCAACCTCAGCCTCCCGGATTCAAGCGATTCTTCTGCCTCAGCCTCCCAAGTAGCTGGGACTACAGGTGCGTGCCACCATGCCCAGCTAATTTCTGTATTTTTAGTAGAGACAGGATTTTACCATGTTGGTCAGGCTGGTCTCGAACCCCTGACCTTGTGATCTGCCTGCCTTGGCCTGCCAAAGTGCTGGGAGTATAGGTGTGAGCCACTGTGCCCAGACTTACTGGCTACCTTTGATTCATTAAAACTCTGATTTGTTTTTAAGCCAGTTGTTAATCCTTTTTTTTGGTATTATCATAGAATTTTCTTTCATTCATTAATTTATTCAGTCATTACTTATTAAGCATCTATTTGCCATTTGTCATCTAAGCATGGTTTATACCTGGACAGTTTTACCATACCAGCCTGTGAGGAACTTTAGGGCAGCCTGGAAGACTCAGGTCTGGTTTTGTAAGCCCTGAACCTGATCTGGGTTTGGGACTCACCTTGTAGCAGGCACAGTATGAGGAAGAAAGGCATTTTCCATCCTGCCCTCCTGTTGGCAACCTGCAAAAAACACTCTAAATGAAAAGAGGCCTGAGAGAAGCTGGGTGAGGGCAGTGGGGACTTGAAAGAACAAGCATCTTCTCGCTTTGGGATCTCGGTTTGCTCGGCGCAGAGGCTGGGTTGCAGATATCTGAGACTAAGACAAGCACTTCCCTCCCTGAGAAAGCATGACTTTATCCTTAGCCTCCTAAGCATGCACATTTTGGTCACGTCCACGAGGCTAAAATGTCCCTTACCCTTAAGGGTTCTGTGTTCAGAAGAGGTGAAACTCCCTCTGTAGGATTCTAGCCCGGGCACCCACTTGCCAGCCTGGAGCTCTGAGTTTGTGGGAGCACCGTGTAATGGAAAGGCCACATTTGAAGTCTAAACTCTAGTTGGAATTGTGGGACTTTGGAAAGTTAGTCTCAGGGATTCGATTCCTTTTCAGGGGAATGAAGGAATCTGCATGGGGTTGTTGTTTCACAGCTTAAGTGAGATTGTGGTAAAGTGCCAGCAATGAGCCTGGAGTAGTCCACTTCTGTTCCTCTCCTCGCCACTTCCTGTTCACAGAAGGGGAATTGGTTTTTTCAAGGGAAGATTTCTGTGTCACTGTTAGTGTGCCTCTGGTCAGTAACAAGGAGTTAAAAATTAAATCTCAGACCAAGCAGCTCTCTGCACTAGGGTGCTATTCTGTTTCTTCTCCACAACTTCTAGAAAGCCCTCTCTGTCCCCCGATCCACACTGACCTTCACCCCTCTCTGGTCTCTCCCACTGGCCTGGGGAGCTTCCAGAGGGTACGGCTTTGTGTTTCATCTCTCTCCCATCATGCTCTGAAAGGGGATGTAGCACATTGTAGATGTGAAATGCACAGCTATTGTGAACAGTAACCCTCCTCTTTTAATGGACACCATACTGATCACTACTCAAAGGTCTTTCACCACTTGCTGATGAAAAAGACAGATTGTGGCTGGGTGCAGTGGCTCATGCCTGAAATCCCAGCACTTTGGGAGGCTGAGGTGGGTGGCTCACGAGGTTAGGAGTTCAAGACCAGCCTGAGCAACATGGTAAAACCCCGTCTTTACTAAAAATACAAAAGTTAGCCCGATGTGGTGGCACGCACCTATAATCCCAGCTACTCAGAAGACTAAAGCAGCAGAATTGCTTGAACCCAGAAGGTGGAGGTTGCAGTGAGCCCATGCCACTGCACTCCCACTTGGGTGACAGAGCAAGACTCTGTCTCAAAAAAAAAAAAAAAAGACAGAGATTGTACGTTATACTTCTTTTGTATTCCCTAGAGGGTATTCATGGATGCTTTTTGATTGATTAAAAATCTACTCTTTGAATCTATCTACTGCTTCTGTTTCTGGGACCTATAGATTTTTTAAAAAGCAAACTACAGTTAGCCAGTGAGTTTTCTTCCTACTCTGTTATGTTCCTCACTACTGTTGAGGACAGGTGCTAACAGTCAATGGTTTGGCCCATGGGCAGAAACCCCCTCACTCCCCAAACAGTTTAAGCCATGCAAAGCCACTGGCCAGTTTGGGACACAGGCTGTACAGGAGGGAATCACAAAGAGGAAAACAGGGAAGAGGGGAAAAGAGGAGGCAAAGGAAGTAGGAGAAAGGGGAGAGAAAAGGAGAGGTAGGAGGTGAAAGAAGGGAAAAGGGAAGAGAGGGGACAGAAGAGAAAAGTAGAGAGTCCATGGGGTGGCCCTGATCTTGTTTTCCTGCAATGAGACTTGGCAAGTTGTCACCTCAGCTTGACTCTGCCCAGCCCTCTCCACTGAGGCCTTTCCCTGCTCTATCCAGTTTGAGTCCCAAGGGTGGCCAGATCTTTAAAAGTCGATAGGCTCTTTATGCATGTTTCTGTGCCTTCCCTCTAGCAAGTCCCCTAGCTTGGGCACTGCGATGGCAGTCTCAGACCCTTCCCTGCCTTACAGAGCTTCCTGTCCCCACCCGGAGACTCTCCCAGGGTGTTCTTGCACCTAATTCATAATTTGATTAATATTCACCAAGTCCTGGCTGATTCTGGGGCTGGCACCTAGACACCCGCTGGGCAAATTTTTCTAAAGCACTAAGTGCTGATGCAGCATGTGTTGGGGCCAAAGTCTCTGCATCACACCATCCAGTTCCTCTGAAGCCACCGGTGCAGCAATCTCTGGGCTTCAGGAAGAAAAGCCGGTTCCATGGGGCAATGAGGAAGCAGGAGTATAAGATAAAATGTTTCCAGGGAATTATCAGCTTTGATTGGAGGCTGGAAGGATAATATTCAACGGAATGTCTCCAAGTCACCCTCTCTGCCAATGACCTTCAGAAATCCTTTCTCCAGGAGACAGGGGGCCATAATCAGTAGCCTGGGGCCACAGGCTTCTGTTACTGCTCACTGCATTTTAGGGGATGAGACCACATGAGGGTACTCTCTTGTCCCTCTCATCTTGCTGGGAAGGGCATGCACCTCACCTCAGCTTCAGCACAGGCTGCTGTGTGACTTCCCAGATGCCTACTGGCCCTCTGAGCCCCAGTTCATTCCTATCCCCTCCCCACATCCCCTGGGCAGCAGATAAGAAGGGAAGGAGTCAGTGTGGTATAGAGGAGAGAGCACAGAACCAGGACTCAGGAGGGGCTGCAGCAGCCTGAGGCTGCTGCAATAACTTGGCCAATGTTCTGTTCCTCTCCTCTATGAAAGAAGAGCTTTGCCCACATGTTCTCCATGTTTCTTCTCTTTGTAACGTTTTTTTGGTTCTAAATTATCCAGGACTTCTAAGGAACCATGCACTCTGGTGGGTGTGAGCAGAATAATAGGGAACTGAGAGGGAGCCCTTATGTTCTGGACCCTAGAACCCTTAACTGGCCTCCTGGGAAGAAGCCCACCTGCTCTGGGAAGGGCACTGAGGAGCATGTGTGACAGCTATGACTGCAGTTCACCCCCCACATTCAGAGGCAAGATCCCAACCTCCAGGAGAAAGCCTCATTTCACCTTTTGTTCTCTGAGCTTCAGTGTGGCCTCTCCATCCATCTCAGTCCAGAAACAAGATCCAGGTGGACTTTTCTTCTTATGAGATGCAGGTGTTTGGACGTCTTCTAGTTGCTCTTCTTTAAACCTGGAGACTGAGAAGTCAAGGTGGTATGGTGGAAAGCAGCTGGAGCTAGCAACAGAAGGTTGGGGTGTAAGGCATAGCTCTGTCACTCACCTCAAGTCACTTCTTTTTGGATTTTATTATTTATAAGAGGAAGCCAGTCCTAATCCCTTGTCATTCGTACTGTCACTTATTCCTGAAGAACTTTTCCAAGGGTGGTAACAGTAGCTTCAAGAAAGAAAACAGTGATCCATGTCCTTCCTCCTCTTGTGTCCCCTCCAGTCCAGGGTCTCAGACTATTTAGGGTGCCCCAGCTTACCAGCCCATTCAGGCATCTCCCAGACAAGTGATGCAACAACTTGGGGAGGAGGGCAGGGAAAATTCAAAATTCAAGAGAGGAATTCCCCTACCATTTGGCTGGCAGCTGGTGCCCTTCAGCTGACCTGGCCCCTCCAACTCTCATAGAGAAGCACTTTGGGCAGCTTGGATCACTGACTTCAGAGCTGCATGAGCTGATGGTTACTAATTCATGTTCCGGACAAAGCATAATACAGTAAATGAGACGATCTTCATGGAAAGAAGACACTGAGAAGTGTGGCTTACCCAAATAGATGACATACTTGAAAAATACCCCAATATTTCCATTTGGAAAATAGTTTATGGGGTTTTTTTCCTTGTAAAAGATGTGATCTTCCAATCTCTGTTGGTCTGAAACTGACATTAAAATGGCTTGTACAGCTGAAGCACTCAACAATGAATGGGCACAAGGGGATGAGGGTGCTGCAAGCTGTAATTTGGGACCTTCACTAGGACCCCTGATAGATATGATAATATGGCACCTCTGAGCCATTTAGAAAGGGCAACTCTTTCTTTTTTTTTTTTTTTTTTTTGAGACGGAGTCTCGCTCTGTCGCCCAGGCTGGAGTGCAGTGGCCAGATCTCAGTTCACTGCAAGCTCCGCCTCCCAGGTTTATGCCATCCTCCTGCCTCAGCCTCCCAAGTAGCTGGGACTACAGGCGCCCACCACCTCGCCCGGCTAGTTTTTTGTATTTTTTAGTAGAGACGGGGTTTCACCGTGTTAGCCAGGATGGTCTCGATCTCCTGACCTCGTGATCCGCCCGTCTCGGCCTCCCAAAGTGCTGGGATTACAGGCTTGAGCCACTGCGCCCGGCAACTCTTTCTTAAGAATAAATTCAGTTGGTATATTGTTGTGCAATTTGCCATAGCCATAGATGGCAGCATGTATTCGTGCGATTCCCCTTCCAAATTTGAAGGCAGATTGGGGGTAGAAACTGAGTCACTGAAAGCAATAGCAGAGGAAGAGAAACAACTCTATGGGTGCTTGGAGTTCGGCCATGACAGGACAATTGTGCACTTGTGTGTGCTGGTAACTGCGTGCACAGCAGTCTATGCTGCTCTCCCAGGACTTGGTCAGCAGCTTCCAGTGCTACAGCTCCAGATCTTCACCTCCATCTATAGCCTCTCATATTAGTTAAAATACATCTACAATGTGAGTGGTCTCTCCTTAGTAATGGCACTCCCGAGCAGCTCACGACCCGAAGAACTGTATACAGTGGACTTGCCTTCTGAGACTCGTTTCCAGAAATGAGTGACCTTCTTGTAGGTGGTAGAGAGGTAGCTAATGCCTCTCTGGCTAGGTTCTCCCCTTCCACTCCTCATGGAGCAGTATAGTGTCATGTTTGATCACATAGACTCTGGAGTCAGACTCCCCCCTCCTCTCAGTTAAGATCTCAGTTCTACTTTTTACTGGGAAAATGACATGGGAGGAGAAAATAGCACCTATCTCATAAAGTTATTATGTGGATCAAATGTGATAATCCATATAATTCAAAGTTCTTAGTATGCAGTTAATTTTCATTAAACATTAGCTGAGAATATTATTAGCTTGGCTTGTAGCAAAGCGAGCAGGTGTCTTATCATGATCGAACTCTCAAAAGAAAAAAAATTCCTTTGATGGTTTTCATCTATTCAAGGGTCCTCTCCCTCCCTCCTTCCCTTCCTTCCTTTATTCCTTTTCCTTTCCATTATTTTCACATTTGAAAGATTAAAAATTCATCAATTTGTCTAAGGACACTTCTGAATTAAATTTATATTCTTAAGTAAACGTTTGTCAAATTTTCACCATTTTGTAAATGTTGCTGCCATTTGCATCCTTAAGGGCATATTTTTCTGTTTTATCTACTTTCGAACACTTTGAAGACTTTTTGATTACAGAAACCAAAAATTATAGTAAAGTACAATTAATTGTAATGCACTGGTCCAGTTTCCAGAGCACTTTCTCAGAGCCATGATGTCCCTTCTCTGAAGCTTTATGGAGGAGAAAACTCCATACTGGCTGCTTCTCTTGGGGATACAATTGAATTTTCTTATGCAGTACAAAGCCCCAGGGGTTCCTTTACATAGATATATGACACTATAACCTTCTGATTTTAGGCCCTAGACTCTGGAATCAGGCTTGACCAGATGTCAGATCTGGGAAGAGCTTTGTCCATTCCCTGTCCTCCAGTTCCCACCTCCAATCCCCCAGTTAGCAAATGACTTCGTTAAACATACACACATGAGAGTAAAAACCAGCAAACAGAAAACTAACCCAAGAAAGGAAAGCTACTTGTGCTGTAAAGCAATCCATATGGATCTCTTCCCTCTCCAAAATGTGCTTTCTAGTGTGTAATGAAGAGCAGTGGACAGAGGTGCTTTAGGTTCCCACGTGGCTCACCCAATCCTGTCCCTTTCCTTGGTAGTCAATGCTTATCCTCCTCCTTATGTGTTATGGCAGCTTTCTGCCTGCTGTACCCACTTTGTAAGCTTTTTCTACCCTTGTTGTCTGCTGGAAAGACACATGGTCCCTCCTGGCTCAGGTAGAATACTAAGTATTAAAGAAAACATCATTTAAAAACACCTGCATTCATACAAGTCCTTGGTTACTTACTTAGAAATTCACAAAGGAAGGTGAACTATGAGACTTGTCACTCCTCCAAATGACAACGGAAGAAAGTATTTGTATAGCACAAATAATCATTTTATAATGGCATTTAGCAAGCTTTTATAACCTCAACCACCACTTACCTGATAGCAAAGCTGGCAGTTCAACAATATTCAATGCCTAAACACAGGAGGCATTCCAAAGGCAGTTAGTTGAGTGCTGAGACAGTTTAAGTTCATGTACAGGCTGTTGGCAAAAGCACAGAGTAAAGAATCCCAGGAGATTATTTCATAGATGGGAGCATTTTAGCCTAAGACTTGAGCTGTAGCTCATTCTAGAATGTTGGTATGAATTGTTGTTGGAGAACATGATCAGCACCTCTTAGCATAATCTTTCTGGAGTGACTTGAGTCTGAGAATGGAAATGAATATGTTTCTTACTGATTAAGATTATTCAGTTAGGATGCTATATTGAATACACATTCTCCTATGATAATGAATCACTGGTCCTCGTAGGATGGAAAGGGCCCCCAAAAAGTTAACTTGCCACTAAGGAGGCTATTGGTCTCCGTCTTCTCAAAGAATGGTGCTATTTGTGGGGGCTTGGTGTTCATCTCTGTTGCTGGCAGGTTGAATGTTTGATAGCAATTGTAACTAACTCAGTGTTGATTAGTGGGAGCCTATACTGTTTGCTGGGCCCATGCATAGCCTTCATTCTTCTGATAGTGCACCTTCCTTAATGTGTACACTGTGTTAGCACCAGGGTGGCCAATGGCTGAAGCTGGCTGATGTCAGAAGACCAAGCCATCCTGTCTACTTGGCAGTTAGTGGTTCTTCCATGGTGGATTCTCTCTGGTGAGCATTAGCATGTGATACAAAGATCTTCACACATCCTGCCCACTCCCTTGTCCCTCCATGTTCCATTACCCCCACCTTTCACTCTGTATGTATTCTAACATCAGGTCATTTCTCCTTTCACACAAAATAGATGACCAGGTGCACTGTCCAAGCTCTGTCCCTTGGATGGACTTTCTCCTGACTCTGTCTTTTAAGACCATTCCTTGCAGTACACCTACTATCCACTTTCGACCTGAACCAAACCAACTTATCTATAAACAAAGCTTGGGTTTTTCCCCTGTCTGCCATTAGCTATCAAGTATGCTCTTCTGTGGCCCCTTATGAGCCCTGGGTGGGGCACTTGTGTAACAGTGGTAGTTATTATGAGGGTCTGGGTTGCCTGCTTATGCAGCTTGCTGTGCTTTCAGGTCCTTGTGCTTGATCCCAGCTAAAGTGCTTATAAGTCATGATGAATTGCTGCTGGATCTGCCTGACTTTATGACTTGGTGGGTGTAATAACTCTTAGCTCATGATGGGTAGTTCCAGACGTATACTCATTTGGTGTCCTGTGTTCAGTACTGTGTCTCAACTAGGACTCGGTGTCATACTAGGAGTTGTTTTTCAAAAGGCACGTGATGCTCCCCTGCAGATGCCATGGCCTTGCAAAAGAATCTTAGGGGACCACGTGACTAGGGAGTGATTCTTCCACTAGGGCTTGCCATAAGCTCCGCACAGCATCTTTTTGCACCACCGAGACCTCCCACACTAGTGAGTGCAGGGCTGCTTACAGCTAAGCCTGGACCCGCTGCAGAGGCTTTTCCTGCTCTGGGCCCCACTCAAAGGTAGAAGCCTTTCATGTCACTAGGTGCCAGAGCAGTATTTCCAGCTGTGGAGTATGCTGCCTCCAGAATCAAAGAGGCCTGTCAGATGTGCTGATTCCTTCACTGTGGTAGGAGGCGCAAGGTGTAAGACAAGGTGTACCTTGTCTTTACTTCGGATGAGGTTTCTTGGCAGGCTCTTTATCACTGGACTCCTAAAAATATTACCATGTGACAGGTCCCTGAATCTTCATAGGTTCGCCTCCATCCTCTGATCCACATGTCTTACGAAGGCCTCCAAAATATAGCCACCTCTTGTTCATGTGGCCTGACTAGCATGAGAGCATCAAATAATGGGTCAATGTGACATTTTTAAGGATATCTAGATGATGTTGATTCCTTTGGACTATATTATGGCAGAGGACAGGGGAGTTAACATAGCCCTGGGGCAAAAATATAAATATGTATTGTTACTCACCTGTGTAGATGCAGTTGGTTTCTAACTCTCTTCTTTGAAGGGAATAGCAAAGAATGCATTCACCAAATCAAGGCTGCATACCACGTACATGAGGCTTTGCCAATCTGCTTGTAGCAGGTAAACAGACACAGTGGCTGAAAATGGGGTTACTCTTTTGTTAAGTGTGTGGTCATTTACTGTCATCCTGCAGGGTCCACTTGGTTTCTGCAGGGGACAACTATTGAATTAAATTGAGATATCATGGGAACGGCCATTCTTGTATCCTTTCGATTTTTTTTTTTTTTTTTTTGAGATGGAGTCTCACTCTGTCGCCCAGGCT